ATGAATAGTGGATATGAAGAGTGGGCTTTTGTTCAATGCTTGCAGAACAGAATAGATTCTGTCCTAACTTTCATGCCAAGCAAAACTACATGCAAGGATGTTTTAAGCCAAACTACAGAACTTCACCTGTACAAACAGAAGATCTATTTATAGACTCTCCAGGCTCTCCCAATATTTCACTTACTAGGACTAAGTAGAGTTGACTAATCTGGTAAAAATTTCTGAATACTAGGGATCAAGAGTGGATTTTCTTTCTTCCCTGTCCTCTTAAATATATTTATTACTTCAAATCTATTAAAATGTTTATCCTTGTTGCTTAGTAATATTTTATTACAAAATCTCACCTGAATGACCATTTTTCATTTATTTCACTTTCCCAGTCCGATGACCTCTGGCTGCAGTTGAAACGTAGGGCATGATGTGCAATAATTCTGATAACTATTTGCTGTATTAATAATAAAGAGTTTATTAAACATTCAACAACATTTATTGAATGTCTACTGTCTGTCAGATACTGTGCTAGCCACAGGACAAATAAGACCTGCTTTCTATCATCAAGGAAATCACAGAATCTAGGATAAAAATAGTTTGGGATTTGGAATGTAAATTACAGAATTAATAAGTATTTTGGATTTCAAGAAAGAACAAAAATAAACCTTTATAATCTGGGGATAATATTTTAGGATAAGGTTATTTGGGTAAGCGAAGTGTTATTAATACTTCTCTGCAATTGACGGTTTGGCCTGCTTTTCCCTTTACTTTTCATGCAGAATTTCTCACGCAACTCAGTTGAGAGTCACTTTGGATTTGGGTGATTATTTGGGGGTATTCCAAGCCAGGATAAGAGTGGTAGACTCTATTGAGTCTTCCTGATTCTATCAGGGCAACTACAGTCTCAAAATTATATTGAAGTGTTTGGGGGTTCACTTCCATATGTCTAAGTGCACTGTCCATCTCTGTGTGATGCAGTAAATGTAACACGTGTCCAATTAACAGCAAGACTAACACTTGCCTACTTTGAAATGCAGTGGCAAAATATTATGCATTTACAAACTTATGTTGAATATAGTTATTTTATGAACTTGTTTTTCTTTATCCATTTTTATAATCTCAACATGAGCCTCCTTTCTCAGACAGAAAAAGAAAATGTAATTCCCGGTTCTAAAGAGCTCTCAGCTACCATCCTCAAACCGATCTCTTGGGTCTGGAATACAAGGCATGAGTCCTGGTAGAGATTGAATTCCTACAATATAGAGTCATGAAAACACAAGGAAAGTCAGCCTAACCTAGGACTGTAAAGGGAAACAGAAAATACTCTTTTGGAGGAGCTGGTATTAATACAAGTAGAGGTGCCAGATTGAAGAAACGATCACTGCTTTGGGTGTTGTGTTCTACAGTTTCAGTCCATTTCAAGAAATGCCACTGAGAAACCAAAACAAACACCAGCTACCCAGCAACTCTGCTTTTAAGGTCATCAGGCCTTAGGTGATCATCCTGGACTGAGGTATGAGCAATAAAATTCTAGGTTTATCCACAAATTGTGAGAGTTCCTTAGAGTTTGCTGTGTTGAAATATAAGGAAATGACTCTGATGGATATATAAAATCAAAATGCTTCAAGTGTTCATCAGACAAAGAATTTACATTCATCATGGTAGCTATTTACCTAATGCCCTGCCTCAGTTTGACCTGTTTGCTACAAGAAGGCGATGCTTTTATGTCACTAATGAGCAGGAGCAGATGGAGATGACCCAGTGAGTTTAAGGGTAAGTGACAAGCATGGCAGAGGACATGTAAATACTTGTTGACAGAACTGGGCCAAGAGTTCAGGGTTCCTCATGCTAAGTTCAGAGCTTCTTTGAGGACCTTCACTTGTCCTCTGAAGCTGCTGTGATGAACTGTCCAGTTTATCAACTATATGTCCCCATCTGGGAATCTTCTCTACTTGGATAAGTCTTGGGGCACCCAGAATGATCCCCAGGCTCTGCCTCTATCTCACATTGTCTCCAACAGGCTTTTCCACTGTGCCTGAGCCTTGGTGTCCTTTCCCTTCCTAAGATAGACCTGAGGCAGCTAACTCTGCATCAGAGCTGTGCACCCCACTTCTCACAAGTGATGCACAAAGGGCTCTCACCCCACTGCAGAGCAATGAACTTGCCTCTCTGTACACAGAGGGGGGTTGACAGAGAAAGCTCCTATGCCTTCTAGATCTTTAGATCCTGCAACTTCTAAAGCTTATGCTTTCTTATGTTTTTTTTCCTACCAGAATCTAGAACTATTATATGTGAAAGAGTGAATAGAAATGGAACTTATTTGGAGATTCAAGGCTAGATGTGAAGTCAAAGATGGTTCAGGATAATACAGAGAACTAGAGAAAGGCCACAGGTATAGGTGATGGATAAAAGAGAGCAGTGAAAGTGAAAAGTGAAAGTGTTACTCACTCAGTTGTGTCTGACTCTTTGTGACCCCATAAACTGTAGCCTACCAGACTCCTCTGTCCATGGAATTCTCCAGGCACGAATACTGGAGTGGTTTGCTATTCCCTTCTCCAGGAGATCTGCCTGACCTAGGGATTGAACACAGTTCTGCATTGCAGGCAGATTCTTTACCACCATCTGAGCCACCAGGGAAAAGACAGAATCAGGGGGAATGCAGGATCATAGAGCTCACTTCTCTTAACCAACTGGTAGACCCTGGAGAACAGAGAATGGAAGAACATGTGTGTGTATGTTGGGGTGGGTGTAGATTCTTCACATGTAGTTTATTTAGGTTTGATTCTTTTACTCTCTCAATTTTACATAATCATGAAAACTCTGCAAACCTCATTCTTATGGAATGAAGCAATTTGATTCCCATTTGGGGGATGATCATATGTAAATGCTGAACACCTTTGCTGGTGACAAGTCCTTTGAGAAATGCATGGTCCAGTTTTAAACATTTCACTACATCTTGATTATACTTCTAAATTCTTCATGTTCGAAATAATTTTTCTTATTTTCCTTTCCTGATAATGATCTAAGAGTTGGACATACATTTCCATAAACAGAATCAGTGGGACATACATTTCTATAAGCAGAGTCAGTCAGTATTTAAAAGCAGTTTTCACCCACAGGAGATTTAAAAATAATTCTATAATTAAACCAGTAACACAAAAAGAGAGCTGATGTCTTAAATGTCTTTCATTTCTTCCATTATCAGCATCATAAAGGGACAGGATTCAGGAGATAATCATGTTTAAGTATACCTGTTATTAAACTTCACAGTTCCACTAAAGCTTAGGGTTTCTCCATGTCTTAAATTTAATTCTATCTTTTTAAAATACAGGAAACAGCCTTTCAAGAGGAAGGCAAGATAGGAGTTTCAAAGAGAATGGGAATTACTAATGTACAGGGAGACTTAAATCAGCATTCACAAATTTATTAGTGCCAGGCCAATGTGAGTAATAAAATATAGATGCACTTGCTCACTAGACATTTCACAGGTTGATAATATAACATTCTGTAGTCTGCTACACATGTTAGAAAGTAGTCTCTGTTTTTTCTTACTCTTTGGTCAAATGTGGGCCAAAAAAAAAGACTCAATTATGCAGATTTGCTTTTTACCCCTTGTCATGTGATTTCAAACACACTGGTGGAGGGTTGCTTTGATCAGTTCCCATCAGGTTTAACTAGAACAGTATTAAACCATTACGATAAAGTTGCAGTTGACTTTTTACTACCTAGACAGAGTTAGGTACCTCCTGACACCAACAGGATGACTTTTTCCTCTTCTTAGCAACAAGAAAGCACAATATACCCTACTCATTGCTTAAGTGGACCTTAACAATCACTTTCAAGGGACACACCATTGCTGAAGACTGAAGAGTAATATTTATCAACATTAAATAGACACTTGGTGAAATATGCATAAATATGTCTTCTTATAAACATAACATGAAATTAAATAGTTCAGGAACACAGACAACTGAGTACAGTTCCACTGTTGTCAAAATCTGCTGTAAACACCAGCTCACACTGAACACAGAAGCAGCTTCTAACCCGGCTCTGGGTTCACGACACAGAGACCCTGTACAGACAGAAGATTTCTCCTCAGCCCCCCACCTCCCACCCTCCCACTCCCCACGCAGCCCCCACAAAAGGAGAAAAGGAACCCCAACAACTATAGCAGCAACACAGATGACAGCCACAGCAGCGCCCCTCCCCTCCCCCAAACAGGACGGTTAGCATTTGGGTCAATTCAGAAGAGAACACAAAAATCACTTTTTAGAAACGTACTAAAGAAATCAATTTGCAGCAATACTTTTCAGAGTGTAATACTTTCTTCAGAGGATTTGGGACTTGCCAACCCCCACCTATTCTGGGTGAAGGTCACACAAAAGCACTGGCCACAGCAAAGTGACAAGAGTTTTAAGCCCTTTTGCATATAAAGATGTTGAGTAGCAAGAAATCGAATCCTGTGTTCCTCTCTGGCCCTCACAAGGTCTCTTCTGCTTTGCCCCAGGTAATGTTGTGCATGAAATTTAAATGTGACACTATTATTAAATTTCAAGCAGGTAAGATAGCAAAGGTTTTGGTTGGAAACATTCAGATTTGGACCATGAAATTCAAACCCTCTGATGTGACTCATTCTTTGGGCACAGAGGGGGCCCCCATTTGATTTAGCTTTGTTGAGGGTGTCAACAAAGGTGACAGCTTACTCAGAATCTGGTCAGACCATGGTGCTCATCTGACTCACTAGGCTGACTGTCCTACACAGATCAGCCCAGAGGGCCTGCCTGCTGTCTGCTGCCTATTCTCCAGGAAAACAGCCCTGGCTTCCAAAACACGACTGGGTTTATTTCACTCCTACGTTGTGTTGGGATCCTAGAGAAACTTTAGTCACCAAAGTACTGAAAGCATCTATTGCTGGAGTAATTTGCCAGTTCATTAATTCCCATTATATTATATACACTATGTGTGTGTGCATGGAATTCACACACATACACACACACACACACATATCTACATATATATTTATATATCTTTTACTTGTATGAAACTTGAACTGCACAAAATAGTACTTTGCAAGAATCAAGTCCACAAAGAGAGTTTAATGACACACCCATGAGAAGACGGAGAGCTCTACTGGGACGAGGAGGTGTTGTTTTGCAAAGTATGAAAGAATTTCAGAACCATGGATTCACTAGCCTGACATGTTCCACGTGGGATCCGATGGACACTTTGGGGATCCTTGGAGAGCATGTGACAATGGGCCAGCTAGTTATGCTCACCGGGATTCCAGAGCCAATGGGAATTAAAAGACCCAGGCAGACCAATCTGGGTGTGTAATTGCTATGAAAAAATTATTTCCTTCTCTTTAAGAAAAAACAAAGTCTATTTCAGAATAAATTCCTTCATATTCAGTAATAAGCTTACTTATTTTTGGCTGAATAGGTATTTGACTTTTGACATTAAAATGGGTTTATTTAATGGACCGGGAAACAGGCAGCTTCTTTCACGTCTGGGTGATAAAAACATGTTTATCAGCGCCAGAGATCACCCCCACCCTCACCTTACTCCCTCCTAAGGTTTTGGGTTGATGTGTGCGTTTGGTGACGGCTATTGAACGCACCCCAGTCTACAAGGCCTGCTCAGGCACCCGCTTGTGGAAAATGACCGACTGTCTCTGCTGGTACTGCTGCTTGCGTCTCTTCCTCTTGTCACACTGACACAACAGCAGCATCTTGAAAGTGTTTCTGAAAGTTTTGTTGCACAGGGCATAGCACACGGGGTTCACGGTGCTGTTGATGTAGCACAGCCAGTAGCCCAGATTCCAATAGGTTTTGGGGATGCAGCTGTCACAAAAGGTGTTCACCAGAACCATGATATTGTAGGGGGTCCAGGTGATGATGAAGGCAAGCAGGATGGCGCTGAGGGTCTGGGCTGCTTTCTTCTCCTTGATGAGGGACATCCGTTTTCGCTTAGTGATCTGGCTTCTGGTCTTCAGAGCAAACCTCTTGGCCAGCGTAGCTTCCTTGAAGGACAGAGGTAGAGTGGCCGTGGTCTTACCCACCGAGGAGTTGACATCAGAGGCCTTGGCTGTGTCCACGGCAGACTCTAACTGGATGGGAAGCTTGGAGAAGCTTTTCTGGAAGCTGCCTCCATCATCCATGCTCTGCTGGGCCTGAAGCTTGCTGGTTTTCTTCTCCAAGCCCACCGTGCCCAGCTCCTCCTCCGGCACCTGCAGGTTGTCGGATGAGGGTAGTTTGGTGGAGTTGAGGATGGTGCTGTGACCTGGGAGCTTGAGCACGATGGAGTAGATGGCTCTGGTCTCTGAGCCAATGTCCTCCTCGTCGGAGGAGGCAGAGTTCTCCAGGGAGGCAGCAGCATCGTTGTTATTCCAGCTGTCGCTGCTGCTGTGGTCTTGATCCATCTGCTCGGCGCTTGGCTTCCAGCTCTTGGTTGAGAACCAGAAGTGGCAGCGTCCGTACTTCCTCCTGGCTGAGCGTTTCATGCTCTGCTGCTGGAGCTCATAGCTGCTGCAGCTTCGAGAACTGCCCGTGGGGTGGACGAAGTTCTCTGCCTCGGCCTCTGTTCCCGAGGCCTGCAGCCCAGCAAGTTCTTTGGTACGTTTTTCAGTTTCCTTATAGATCCTCCAGTATAAAATAGTCATGATGGTGACAGGCATATAAAAGGCAGCGATGGCCGTACCGAAGGTGATGGTGGGCTCACTGAGGAACTGGATGAAACACTCCCCTGGAGGCACAGTCCTCTTCCCAACAAAGTATTGCCAGAACAAGATGGCAGGAGCCCAAAGGATGAAGGAGATGACCCAAGCCAGACCTATCATCACACCAGCTCGCTTTGTTGTTCGTTTGGCTCGGTACGTGAGCGGCCTCGTGATGGAAAAGTATCTGTCAAAGCTGATGACCAGAAGGTTCATGACGGAGGCGTTGCAAGCCACATAGTCAATGGACAGCCAGAGGTCACAGGCCAGGTTCCCCAACGCCCATCGGTTCATGATGATGTAGGTAGTAAACAGATTCATTGAAATGACCCCAATGATCAGGTCAGCACAGGCCAGGCTTAAGAGGAAGTAATTGTTGACTGTCTTCAGCTGCTTGTTGACCTTGAATGCCACGATCACCAGGATGTTGCCAATGATGGTCACCAAGGCCAGGACGCCTGTTAAGAATGCAATGAAGACCACCTGCCAGATGGTATGACCTCCCAGAGGGTCACTGGTGGTGCCGTTTGGAGAGGAGAGATTCCCAGCTGCCCGAGAAATGTTGTAGCTGCCAAAATGAGTAACCGTTCCTGGGGGCAGCCCTGTATCCGAAGGGCCGTGAATCCAGGAAGAGCTGATGTTCAGAAACAAGGGTGAGGTTGTATTGTTATTGTGCAAGGTCATGGTGACTCTCTGACATAGTCTGGGGAGAAAAGAGAAAAGATGGAGTCAGGACCGTTACTGCCCTCACTGGATTTGTTTCCTGCATTGCATCCTCTAAAAGACATGGAAGACATATCATCGGATGATGTGTGTGCCCCCAAGGACTGTAGCCTGCCAGGCTCTTCTGTCCATGAGACTCTCCAGGCAAGAATACTGGAGTGGGTTGCCATTTCCTTCTCCAGGGGATCTTCTCAACCCAGGGATGAAACCTGGGTCTCCTGCACTGCAGGCGGGGTCTATATTCTCAGCCACCAGGGGAGCCCTATTAATATGAACCTGAGACGGCCCTCCACATCAGGTTCATTCTCTCACTTTAAAGATCATGAGTTGTCAACTTTATTTCGATAAAAATAAATAAATTAAATCAAGGTGAGGAGCACAAGGCAGGCATAGATTGATTTGTTCGAGGTAGCACAATTAGCTGGTTGGCATGCACTTAGCTTTGTGTTTTTTCTCCACATTTTCCACATTTCTACAGACCACAAATATTTCCACATGATGGCGCTATCAAACAAAATCCTCCTTCCTTCTCATATTTTGAAAAGTATGGGAAATACTGTAGATGCAATATGATATCCAGCACCACTTTAGTCTCATGCTACATGAGAAGTTGGTCTTACTCATTTGCATTTTATACACCCGGGCATTTAGCTATCCCAGGCTTTAGACATAACAACTCTAAGGCAATTCCAGCTATGTCAGCCTCATTGGAATAAGCAACAACAGCCTGGACCAAGGGGGGAAGTTAGCATATAATCACGTCACTTGATATTTTCTCTTTGACACACAGTTAGAAAAAGAATGTACTGGTTCTTTGGAATGGTTGGGAACAGTATACAAGGCAGCCATCTTATGCTTGATAATATGCAGAACCCTGATGAGACTGTTCTGAACTGAACAGTCTGAACTGAACCAGTTCTGAATATTTCTAGTATTTAGATACATTATCTCTAGTTATGAAAATGCATTTAGTACCACACACATGCAATAAATAGTTGCAACACTAAAACACTAAAATCAGTTCTTTGAAAAAAAATTTCTTTTTTTAATTTGGCAGCACTGAGTCTTAGTTTCAGCTCATGGGATCTTTTTCAGCTGTGGCATGCAGAATCTTTTTTAAAGTTGTGACTTGTGAGATATAGTTCCCTGATCAGGGATCCAACCTGGAGCCCTTGCATTGCAAGCAGAGTCTTAACCACTGGACCACATGGGAAGTCCCAGTTCTTTTTTTTTTTTTTTAATTTTTAAATTTTATATTAGAGTATAGTTGATATGAAAAAAAATTTCTTTTTTTAATTTGGCAGCACTGAGTCTTAGTTTCAGCTCATGGGATCTTTTTCAGCTGTGGCATGCAGAATGTTTTTTAAAGTTGTGACTTGTGAGATATAGTTCCCTGATCAGGGATCCAACCTGGAGCCCTTGCATTGCAAGCAGAGTCTTAACCACTGGACCACGTGGGAAGTCCCAGTTCTTTTTTTTTTTTTAATTTTTAAATTTTATATTAGAGTATAGTTGATTTACAATATTGTGTTACTTTCAGGTGTAAAGTGATTCAGTTACACATACACATATATTCATTCTTTTTCAGATTCTTTTCACACAGAGGTTATTATAGAATATGAATAGAGTTCCCTGTTTGATATTCAGTAGGTCCTTGTTGATTATTTATTTTATATATAGTAGTACATATATGTTAATCTCAAACTCCTAATTTATCCCTCCCCCACCCACATTTCCACTTTGGTAACCATAAATTTGTCTTCAAAATCTGTAAGTCTGTTTCTGTTTTGTAAACACATTCATTTGTATCACTTTTTTTTTTTTTTGCAATTAGTTCTGTCAATCACTTGTTACCAAAATAAGTTTATTTCAAACTCCTAATTTATCCCTCCCCCACCCACATTTCCACTTTGGTAACCATAAATTTGTTTTCAAAATCTGTAAGTCTGTTTCTGTTTTGTAAACACATTCATTTGTATCACTTTTTTTTTTTTTTTTGCAATTAGTTCTGTCAATCACTTGTTACCAAAATAAGTAAATGACTAAGAATGGTTACAATGAAGGCATCTCTAGTAAGACCCTCTGTGCTGTCAGGGAAAGCCTTATGTTGAGACCTGCCTCAACCTCTTACAACCTCCAGGCTTGTACTTTCACATCACAGCTGACTCTGGGATTCTCATAGCACCAATCTCTGTGGACTTTATTCAGTGAATCATCCCTCAATGAGTGTCACACCAAAAATGCAACATTTGAGAATCACAGCAAAATTCTATTGAGACCACAGTCTAGTGCGTTGTGGCTCTTGGTTGAAAGTGTTCAACTGTAAACATTTACAGTGCAAATATGTTGACATATGCACATGGTAAGAGTCCTAAATTAAGCCTTTAGATACTGCAGGTCAGGGCACCTCTCAAAGGAGTGCAGTGAGATTCATAGAATCATGTGTATGCATATACGATTGGACATATGCAAGCACACACACCTTTACATTCATAAATACATACATTCACTTCAGTACCATTTGCAATAGTAGAATATTGTAACTAGTCTAGATAGAATGCATTATTACATAGAAGAATAGTTTAAAAACTGTATAATCCATCACTATTTTCCCATACATGAAATCTACATTGCACTAATTGCTGCGGGTTTTTTTTTTCTTCATTTCTTTTTATTTTTCTGGGTTTTATTAGGTGCTGTCAGCTCATCTATATCTCCAGCTCCCTCTCAAAGGGATGTCCATATTTAGGAAGGGCTACATGCTGTTTGGGGTACTCAACAGCATTTATGATTTCTTCCAAGGTACATAGGGATTCCCTGGTAGCCCAGCTGGTAAAGAATCTGCCTGCAATGCAGGAGACCTGGGTTTGATCCCTGGGTTGGGAAGATCCCCTGGAGAAGGGAACAGCTATCCACTCCAGTATTCTGGCCTGGAGAATTCCTTGGGGTCACAAACAGTCAGACACAACTGAGCGACTTTTGCTTTCACTTTCCGAGGTACACATATGGAAAGTCAATATGCTCTCCCTTCTCCATGCGGATCCCAGTTTGGCATAGTTCTAAAGGTGTTTGCCGTGGTACCTCCTCCACTGCACCTATAGCTACATATACAAGATCAGCCTTGTCTTTAGTGAGACACCTTTGCTCAATAATCTGCCTAGGAAATTAATGACCAGTTTTCTATTAAGGGGTTGAGGATGCATCTCCAAAGTCCTCCACTACGTTTGTTCAGATAAGGATTCTTTTTTTCTATCACTCTTACTCACGCATTTCTCATTTTCAGACACCATACCCTTGCTAATTTTTTATACACAGACAATCCCCATATTTTTGACTTTATAATGATATAAAAGTGATATGCATTCCAGCAGAAATCATACTTTGAATTTTGACGTCTTCTTCAGGTGAGTGATATGAGTTATAGGACTTTCTCATGATATGAGGCAGCGGCGGAGAGCCACAGGTCTGTCAGCCACATGATCAAGAGGGTAAGCAACTGACATACTAACAACCATTCTGTACCCAGACCCAGACAACCATTCTGGCTTTCACTTTCAGTACAGTATCCAGTCAGGAATATGAACCATTCAACTTCATTACAAAATAGGCTTTGTGTGAGATGTTTTTGTCCAACCATAGACTCATGTGAGAGTGTCCTAAGTAGGTTAGGCTAAGCTATATGTTAGGTAGGTTAGGTGTATTACACGCATTTTCAGCTTAACAACATTTTCAACTTACAATGGGTTCATCAGGAGTATCCCTATCATAAGTTGAGGAAGATCTGTGCTCTCTGAGTAGCTTTTATATTCCCACCACCTTTCACTCCACAGCTTCCTGGACACAGCAGCTGAGCCCCCTTGTCAGGGTTTCCCTGGTGGCTCAGTGGTTAAGAATCTGCCTGCCAATGCAGGAGATACGGCTTCGACCCCTGGTCTGGGGAGATCCCACACGCCACGGAACAGCTAAGCCTGTGCGCTATAACTACCAAGCCTGTACCCCGGAGCCTGGGAGGTGCCCCTAGTGAGCCCTCAACCCACAGCGAGAGATCACTGCAATGAGAAGCCTCTGCACCACAATGGAGAGTCTCAGCCCCCACTAGCCACACCTAGAGAAAAGCCAGGGTAGCAACGAAGACTCAGCACAGCCAAAAATCCATGCATAAATAAATAAAATATGAAAACATGTCTCCTTGTCCACCGCTGGGGTTGTTTTCAGCTGATTTTACATTCCTTGCTTCATCTTACTCCCGCCTCACTCCAGTCACTGGCGTGCCCTGAATCTCATGTAATCTTGTATAGCACCTTTTAAAGTGCCTTAAACACTAAGTTTCCGCTCCCATGTCATATGGAATTGATCACATCCTGCAGAACTATTTTCATCACTTAGGCCATGCTGATATTATTATAAATAAATACCATGGCTAATAATCCCAGTGCTTTATATAAAAAGATAATATACCAGTCTTCTTTCTTTTTCTTTTTTTGCTTTTTATCAAGACCATGCAGTGGATGTCTGTTATTTGTCTTTCCTTCAGTCATTCTTTCCGAAGTGGCCTGTCATCCACGGCACATATGTCTGGATGGGCATCAATCACATGGTTCTGATGCCTCTACCTTAGTTATGGGCCTGAAGAACATGCAAACAGGAGCAGTAAGAATAACTTTGGGGAATAGATATGGATGCTGGCAAGAAAGAGGGTGATTCTCTGTTCCTTGGGATTCTTGGGTGCTGCTGACTATTTACACCCGCATGAAAAATTGGTGAAGCAGGTAAACACAGAGGAAAGATATGGGGGAAGGAGAGAGATGGGAAGGAATGTGAGGGAACAGAGATGATGTGATCATGATGGCCTTTCAAACCTGGATCAAGTCATTCCTGAAGACAGCCCCACCACTTTGAATTTGCCAGTTATATAAGCTAACCACTTCCTTTGCTGTCTGGTCTACCTGAGAAAGGTCACTGTCACCTGCACCTGAACGG